ATGACGTACCAGCAAATAAACGATTTACTGCGCGTGCATGTATGGGCCTCGCGCTGAAAAGAGGAATTCGAGTGTCGAGTATCTCTTTATGCATTAGACCGCACTTTCTTTCCGTTTGCCATCGTAATAACCCACGCAAGATGTTTTGAGAACACGAGAAAAGTTTTTTGCAAATCATGCGTAAGCCAAAGGTAAGTGATTTTAAAAGATCTTCGAGTGTTCACAGACACTGTCGACATCCAAACTCCTTTATTTAACGAGAAAGTCATAACACAGGTATTTGAATTTATGTGCTCGTCAGCTAATGAGCAGATAGTTCAAAACATGAAACACTTTACAAGTACAGTGCGATTGAAATATTAGTAAAAAAGCAGAGCTAGACAAGAGGAAAACATTAGAGCCTCGACGGCGCTCAAATCCCCCCGTGTATCCACCCCCCGAATGTATCAACTGGACGCGGATGTCTCCGCCTAATGCCACGAGGCTTGATTGTTTCCAATGGCTAAACTGGATATAGAGGGACTCGAAGTCACACTAACGTAGCTGTAAGGCTCCAAGGACAATATTTTAATCCTTTTATTATTTGGGTCATAATGTCTGCCAACGACTTGACTACACTGAAAGGAATGTCAGTTATTAAATCTTTCCTCTATCTCACTGAGCATCTTTTCTTAAAGGCGACCATAGGATGGGGTACCAAAGAGATCTTCATAAACGTATTGGAAATGGCACTAACAAAAAGAATCTAGGGACAGCCAAATATGGACAACTTTATTTTTATTGAACCTAATCTGTAAACAAAGAGTTTTTTTTTGTCAACGATATTATTACTGACATGAACTATAGAGCGCTTTTTGAACATATGTGTCAAATTATTTGCACCGCATTTAAGTTAATGTGTTATAACGAAAATAGCTCTGCAGACATTTTGAATCGGTTCATCCAACTGATATTTCCTCTGGGATTTTGCTTCACTGCTTAAAACCGTCTCTTTTCATCCCTTTCTTCACGGAGTAAACGTAGTTTTTCCTGAAAATAATCGAAGCGTGAGCGCAAATCGTAATTATGCTTGTAATAAGTAAAAGAAATCGCATGATGCGGATGCATTTCATAATTTACTGACCCGAGTGTTGTTTTGGAAGTTAAATAATATTAAATAATAGTAGTTATCGTAACAGTAGTAGCACTCACCGTGGAGCAATCTGAAAAATCTTTTAACATAACAGTGAACTCAGACCAAAAGAAAAATTCACGGGCAGTTCTAACGATACTTTATTCGTTAAATGGGTCCTCTAGCATGTTACTCAGAAAACATTTCATCAGCTTTGAAAATGCTCGGATGTTTTCTTTAAATTAAAAATGAAAGTGCAAGGGAAATGCAGATTGACAAGAATGGTAATAATAATGAGAATTATTATATTTATCATTATTATTATTATCAACAGTATCATTATTATCATCATTATTATTATTGCTATTAAAGTTATAATAGTGATCACAATTTTGATTGGAATTATGACAATTTCTTACTTAAGTTTAAAGGAACTTACTCACCAAGAGTGATACTTCTCTTTTTCTTCCAAATTCCAGTGGCGGAATATAAGGAGGTTGATTTTCTTTTTCCTGAAATTTAATAGCAAGCATTATTCGATGATTAGGCCAACCACGTGATTTGATTTTGTTCAGTTAATTCTACTTTTTCCTTTAATCCATCGCCTGATTTTTATCATGTAGATCCGCAGCCTCCCCCGGCTTGATCTCTGTCTGTTGACAACATCATTTTCCTAATATTACAACAGGACGTATTTCCTCAGAAACTTGATGGGCACATGGTAGGGATGGAGAGGACCTAGGCTCGATTGCCAGCTACTGGTCGGGAATGTGGGCCCGCGCTCTTCTCGGGAAGGAGCGAAGACCGGACACGACTGAGCGACAGAAATCGAGCTTAGAGAGGATCCTGTCCTTTTTCCCGTTATGTCCCTGGTTTTTCTGAAAGTTCTCGCTCAAAAGAGAACTCTTTAAGTTAAATTCGTAGTTTGAACTAAAGGTACTCCTACAATAAACCTATAGAGGTCTGAAGTCTTGAGACATTTAGACATCTTTAACTATCTTTTGAGATTTACTTGCACAAAAGTGCAAAAAAAAAAACATCATTGCTATCATCATTTGAGGCGACGTGTGAAATCTATTTCCAGTGTGAACAACATTACAAACTGTTATTTTGGTTACAAAACTGAAAAATGGAAAATGGAAAAAACTGAACAAAAAATTGATGAATTTGCTAAAGGGTAGAAGAAAATAGACACGAATTGGAAGAGGGGCTAAATTTTTTAAAGACGTGCCAAAAATATGGTAGCTTCTTTGAATCAAAGTAATAAAATTTGCCGTTACCTCAAATCTTTTTACATCTGAATCGACAGATGTATAGCTTAGTCGCCCATTATCTGGATGTGGAGATTCGAGAAGTCCACATACATAGGTGAAACATGAAAACCATACCAGATATTTCATGTCTAACGAGAATCTCTTCTTGTTCTGTGCCGCTCTAACTCTCTAAGTATACTTTTTTCAACCACCAGCTTTATATATATTCAGAGGATTCAGCTAATTTTTCCTACGCTGCTAGACATAATGGCTGTCCGCGTGGTCTTCTATTAACTTAACAAGGAAATATATTTTCAATGAAACCTCCAGAACCACTGAAACTTATAAACCACTTCTTACTATAAGTGCTTTCTTTTATTTTGACTGAAGCGGACAAATACAGACTTGATGCAATCAGTTTTAATAACGGACAACTGTAATAAGACCTCTACCACGCTGGTGACAAATGAATTTGAGTTATTTCTTTATACTACATCTCTATTTATTTGATGAACGACATGTTTACAAGATGAGTTTATTTTTTCAACTTCTGTCCTCATTGTTGTGTTAACTTAAAAATGAAAATTTTCATTAAATATAGTAATTTTGGTAAGCAATTCCATTTCCTTTGGATTAAAAAGGAAATCAACTCTAGTGCAGGAAGTGGGCGTTACAACTCAAGAGTGTTCCGGTAGAGTTGTTTCCTGAGAGTAATAATTATTCAACTTTACCTTATTGAAACTAATAAACGATGAAATGGATATGTTTCCGGCGGAGGAAATTTCGAACTTGATGAGCTAAAAGTGACAGTTATGTCGATAATCTAACTAGGACGATGGAGCTTGAGGGAAAGTTCTGTAAATCCACGCAAAAAAAAAA